TTTTTTTTTTTAAAGGACACTCAAAAGAAAATAATCAAGTACTCTGAGTACTTTCTTCCATTCTCCTATCCAGAATTTCAAGGCCTCTGAAAAACAACATGAATGAAAATAGTGGTTCTGAGACCTAAATTTGTTATAATTTTTTGCAGTCTTTTTCTCAGCCAAAAGCTACCTATTCAAATTAATCTGAATGAAGCATTTCAAAATAAAAATGTAAAAGACTACCCTTACATGCCTTAAGAAAATTATTTGTGATATACACACTCCTAAAAATTTAGATAGGTTTATGTGAATAAAATCCCAAATAAAGATTAAAAAATAAAGTCATTTTAGAAATAACTCTGGTTACTCCCATACCAACCACACAGGTCATATGAGGATTTAAAATGCAATCATGAATTTTGAAAAAATAAACATATATATATATATATTCTTATCTATAAAAACACTAGCATACAAACTTCAAACTAAAAGGTTATCCAAAGTAACACACAAATGTTCTAAATCTTAAGGAAACTTAAAAATATCTCTTCTATGTGTAAATAAAAGCAGAATAAAACAGATCTGAATGCATTATTAGGTAATTTGCTCTGGAAACCTGTTAATAAATTATTGGTGGGAATTCTCAATAGTCATTATGCTGCTACCCGAAGCACATTTTCTTCAGTAAAAGCGTAAGTAAACTAATAGACTTTATGTTAGTCATCACATATTACAACCAAGTATGACTCTGACAATAACAGGAGTGGTCACACAGTGCCTCAGATTCAGCTGTGTCTTGAATTTCTCACTGAAGGATTAGGCCAACCTACCTTTGGGACAATTTTATCAGTAGACACAAACAACAGGTGTCTTTTTAATCCTGTTCTTTTAAAGTCTGTATCACTAGTCTATAACAGAGAGCAATGAGAGAGTTCTAGCAGATGAAGCAAGAGGGTAACTGTGTTCTAGAAGAAACATTTATCTGTCTTTCGATCCAAGCTTCTCAATTAATTCCTGAAGAGGTGCCAACTCACGCCTATCAATCAGATTAAACTCCTAAAAAAAGAGAAGAAAAGTAAAATTTAAAAACAGATCTAATATTAAAACTCTGCAAATATCAGAGAAGGGATTCCTAACCCTAGTTTTCTGAAATCCAAAAAATGATGAAATCATCTCTGTAAACTTTTTTTTTTTTTTTTTTTAGAGAGAGAGAGAGAATGTACTCACACCTGAGCAGGGAAGAGGGGCAGAGGGAAAAAGAGAGAATCCCAACCAGGGTTCCATACTCAGCGCGGAACCGGATGCGGGGCTCCATCCCAATGAACCTGAGATCATGACCTGAGCCAACTGACTGAGCCACCCAGGCACCCCTGTAAACATTTTAAAATGGGATCATTTTTATTCATTTTTTTGAAATATAGGGGGACTGACTAAAAAAACAACTGTATATATCAGCATGATCTTCACTGAGTAAAACATTAAAATCAAAACTATATATATTTTTGCATTTACATGGAAATGATCTTGAAACTATACAATGAGCTTTTGATAGTGGCCAGGAGCTTTCGATAGGGGCAGTGGATCTGTTGCTTTCATAGATCTATACCTACATCTATCTGGTGTCTGTCTATTCTATAGCTATACTACACCCCCACCCTCTATCTGTACCTATACATCTGTATCAGCACCTACACTATACCTATAACTATGCTGTGCAACAATCTCAGAAGGAAGACAGAGAAAAGCACAGTACATTCTCCTTTGTGTGGCACATATAACTGAAATACACAGGATCTACTATAAAACTACTGACTTTTCTACCAAAAAACAGTGTCTAGACAGATGTAGTTACATTTTGCATATAGAATTATCTATCTCTAAAGCTGCTTTAATATCTTTTTCAAACAATGAATTGTTTTTATTTTTTAAATTTCTTTTTTTTATGTATTTTGAGAGCGAGTGGGAGAGGGGCAGAGAAGGAGGAAGAGAAAATCCCACTGACAGCGCCTGATATGGGGCTCAACCCCACGGACTCTGACATCATGACCTGAGCCTAGATCAAGAGTCAGAAGGTTACACAACTGAGCCACCCAGGTGCCCCTCTTTTGATTTTTAAAAATTCCACTTCCAATTAAGGGCCCATAAATAATAGGCCACATCTCTGAAGGGGATGGTCCTTGAAGTTTCTAGCTGATGACTTCATAAGATTTGGCCTGAAATGGTACTTCTGGAAGGTTAAACCAAGACAGCGACTAACATGTTCTTCCAAAAGTCTCTCTTTCGGATATAGCCATCTCATGAAACAACCCAACTGCCGACGTTTTCTCATAGTATCCCTTCACTCGGCAGTGGCGATGGAACAGGGGGGTACGGAAAGCTATCCTGGGTTTCCGGTGCTCTTTGTCACATCCTAACCAGAGACCCGGTGGGGACAGACAGAGGCAGAAGGCCTAAAATGGGGGGGAAGCTTTCTATGTCGCTCTGCACACCAATGAAGTAAACAACACGGAAAGGAGAAAAGAGAGAATTCTGCTTATGCTTTCACTCTACGTCTATAAATTAGACAACTCAGTAAATTGCTCTTTATTAAAATTACCAATCAAATGAGTTCAAGACAAAGGACAAAGAAGTCAACACAGTTCAACTTACCTGAACAAAGAAGATAAAGTGCTTAAAGGAGGTGTTGAGGTGGGCCTCCTCTTGCAGCTGCATCACAGAATCAAAGTGCTGGTGATAAATATGGGCATAAACCCGGAACAGACGCTTTAGAATGGTCTTCGCCACAGACATAAAGTTTTTGGGAAACGGGACACCTGTAAGCAAATATATACGTACATTTATACACATATCAATTGGTCTTTTAGCTAACAGTAGAAAGTTTAGAAACTGCCATATGCAACTCCAACACACAAACACACACATTCACAAATACAAGTCTATTTTCCAGATATTTTTTTAAAGGGCAAAGGGAAAAAAAATCTCAAACAAATATATGAGGTATCCTCACATAGCATGCTTGTTCTGACTGCCTTAGACTAATAGGCACAGACATCAACCTATGATGTGCCGTTGAATCAAAGTTAAAATAAACATAATTTTAGCTATTTAACACTAGAGTTTCTTCCCAAGATTCAATGCAACAAGAATAAGTATTTTGACTATAAATAAAAACTTCTATTTTTGTAATTTGTAACTCTAAAAAATTTTTACACTCACACATGCACTCAATTAGGAATGAAAATTCCAAGAGAAAAAGGCATTATAATCTATGGTCTACAAATATTTTATCTTCTGAATTACTCTGAAAGACTAGTTTTTCTTCCTTAAATTAGGAGTCCCCAAATGTTTATCTTATCTTTTCAAAGTGCTATTTTCATTTTCCTACAGTACAAGACAGAGATACACTTCCTGAAAAGGAGAGGAAGGGCACCTCACCATTTTGCAAAGAAAATGAACACTTCCTTAGAAATGAACTGAGAGATGGTTTGGTAATCTCCCTCCAAGCAGTGTAGGTGGGGATGTGTCTCAATTCCTGAGAATTCCAGCTGATAAGATCAAAGTCTTAGAAAACAGGGACAGAAGGACAATACAGTGGCACGGAGAACACTATATAAACATATAAGTCATCAGCTTCCAAAATAACCTAGATTAGACAGCCTTAATAAGCTATTCCACAGCACCGCTCAAGAAACATTTTCCTTTCTTCAATCTTTCAGAAAACAAAGGTTAAAACACTTTCTCCTTTCATGCATTTTCTCAACCAGTCCATTTAATAGCCTGAAATTTAATGTCTTTTACTCTTTCAAGCTAATTTTTTTCATTTCTCCCACATCAGTCTTGGCTAAGAACTTGCATTTTCATTTCGTTTTAAATTTTATTAATTTTTTTTCAAGGTAAGCTCTGCACCCAACATGGGGCTTGAACTCACAACCCTGAAATCAAGAGTCACACACTCTACTGATGGAGCCAGCCAGGTGCCACTAACAACTTGCATTTTCAAACATAATCCTGGAGCCTGTGGGCATGTTTTTCTGGACTGGGTCTTGTACTCCCGTATTGAAGAGATGAATTTTTAAGTCAAACTCCTTTCTGAGAATTTACAAATATGCATCTTGCTAATAAAAGGAATAGTTAACAATTGGATGTATTAGTTCAAAATGAGTAATAAACAATTCTATCCAATAAGAATAAATAATCGGCAGAAAATGTGGATAACAGCCTAACCGAGGGGGGAAAAGATTCCAGAACATTAGGCCGAATTACTGAAGAATGGAAAGCTGAAAAAAGAGAATAAAGTTGTAACTATTCTTTATCTTCCATAAATGGGAAGATATTCTTTAATGAATAAAGAACTGTAAGTAATTTGTTTCAAACCAAGCCCTTTCCAAACTGAATTTAACAGAAACATTCAAGCACAGTCAATACACAATAGAGAATCAGTGAGATGGGAATGCAAACTGGTGCAGCCACTCTGGAAAACAGTATGGAGGTTCCTCAAAAAACTAAAAATAGAACTACCCTACGACCCAGCAATTGCACTACTAGGCATTTATCCAAGGGATACAGGTGTGCTGTTTCGAAGGGACACATGCACCCCCATGTTTATAGCAGCACTATCAACAATAGCCAAAGTATGGAAAGAGCCCAAATGTCCATCGATGGATGAATGGATAAAGATGTGGTATATATATACAATGGAGTATTACTCGGCAATCAAAAAGAAGGAAATCTTGCCATTTGCAACTACGTGGATGGAACCAGAGGGTATTACGCTATGCGAAATTAGTCAGAGAAAGACAAACATTATATGACTTCACTCATACGAGGACTCACTCGTATGAGACACAGAACAGATGAACATAAGGAAAGGGAAGCAAAAATAATATAAAAACAGGGAGGGGGACAAAACAGAAGAGACTCATAAATATGGAGAACAAACTGAGGGTTACTGGAGGGGTTGTGGGAGAGGGGATGGGCTAAATGGGGAGGGGCACTAAGGAATCTACTCCTGAAATCATTGGTGCACTATATGCTAACTAATTTGGATGTAAATTTTTAAAAATAAAAAATAAAATTAAAAAACAAAACAAAAAAAAGAATCGGCGAGAGAGGAAATAAAAGGTTTAATAATAAAATGGAAAAGCTGACCAACGGCAAACAGACCAGGTATAATGTGATACATGCTTTCCCCTGAAAGAGCCACTGATTAGATTGCAGTAAGGAATCTGCCAGGGTCAGAATGTGTGTATCTCCTCAAAACGCCTATGTTGAAATCCTAGCGCCCAGATGATGTTATTAGGAGGCAGGACTCTGGGAAGTGATTAGGTCACAAGCGCATAGCCCTCAGGAGTGGGATCGTGCCCTTATAAAAGAGGCCCCAGAGAACTTTTGCTGACACCTTCCACTATATGAAGACTAGGTAAGAAGTCAGCAGCCTGAGACCCAAAAGTGGGCCTTTGCAAGGACCCAACTATGCTGGCACCCTGATCTTAGACTTCCAGCCTTTAGAACTGAAAAGTAACTTTTTGTTATTCATAAGTTATCTGATCTCTGGCATTTTTATTATTAGCAGCCAGAACAGATAAGACAGAATCCAACCTGTTGCTCATAAGACACTCTTAAACTGAAAATGACAAGGAGTGATCTTATGAATAGTGAAGCCAAAATCTTAATCAAAATATTAGCAAATAAAAAATACGATTCCAGTAAAACATTAAAAATCTACATATACTGGAGAAAACCTTATGGTGACCAACAACAGACACTGGGAAAATATCACAAAACTCAACAACCATACCTGAGTTTTAAAAATTCACACACCTCTAACCAAAAGCACGATTCCTGCTTAATGCTGAAGTACTAGAAGCACTTGCATCAAAGTAAGGAAACAAAAGGATGTCTGCCATCATCATCATTACTCAGCACTACTCTGGGGCAATTAGATAAGACTTATACAAGAAACACCCATATCAGAAAGGAAGAGGCAAAATTAATATTATCTTAATGTGATTGCATACTTCAAAAACTCAAGAAAACCAACCAAAACAACTAAAATAATCAGAATCTGATGGTCAACTTATATAAAAATGTATATGAAAATCAATAGCTTTCCTATATACTAAACAATAACCATGTGGAAGGCAGGTATCAATTAAAAAAACACAAAATGTCTAGGGATAAACTTAAGACACTTGAAAAATTAACAAAGTAAACTATAGAACTGCATAAGAGGAAGAAATAAAAGACATGAAGAAATGAAGAAATATATCTTGTTCTTGGGTAGAAAGACTCAGTATTGTCAAGAGAATAAGACTGCCTATATTAATCTACAACTTGAATGAAATAATAATCAAAATCTCATGAATATTTTTATTTTACCTTGCAAAAATATTCTAGGTTCTTTGGAAGAACAAATATCCCAGAATAGCGGTGAATATTCTGAAAAAGAAGAGGAAGGAAGAGAGACTAGCCCTACAAGATGCTCAAAGATATATGGCCATGGTTATTAAAACAGTGTGGAATCCCTGTAGGAACAGATAAAGAGAATGAAAGACTCCAAATTATATGGCAATCTGGTGTACACATAAATAATCTGGGGAGAAACGACACATGTATTTGATAAATGGTGTTGGACAAACTGATTAGCATTTATAACTGGAAAAAAATGGAGGGAGCCTTGAGAAAAAAATTTCTGGCAAGAACAAAGATTTAAACATAAAAACAAAACCACAAAAGTACTAAATGAAAAAGTGGACAAATATTTTTATAATCTTGAAATAGGGAAACCCTTTCTAATCATTGTACTAAAATCCATACATCATAAAGGAAAAGATCAGCAGGACAAAATAAGAAAGTTACATACAGCAAGAATACCTCATGAACAAAATAAGAAAAAGGCAACCTGGGGAAAAATACATATAACATATACAACGAGCTAATATCCTTACCACACAAAGAAATGGACAAAGGATAGAAACAGAAAATAATGATCAATAATCCAAATCAGTATTGTTTTAAATACATTAAGTACATTAAGACAAATTTACCCAAATTGAAAAGAATAAAAACTGAGTAGCCAACAAGTAATAGTGAAAAAACACAGGCAGACACAAACACAACAGAAGGGATTTTGCATGTACAATCTTTTTGGAGAGGAATTTAGCAGTCTTTATTACTTTTTTTTTTTTTTTTTTTAAGTAACAGAGTATTAAAAAGAACACAACACATTTATCAGTTAAAAAGAAAAACAGTTCAACATTATAACTTACCAATCTTGGAAGGAAAAAGAGTTTCATCATCAAGCTGATCCTGAACCCAAGTCATCAAATAGTCAATGTATTTTGGAGCAGAACATTTGATTGGCTTTTTAATATTGGTACCATCTGCCCAATGATATTCATATCTGGGGAGAAAAAGATTTTATTGATATGAGTTTTCAAAAACATTAACAAATCTACAACTTGTAATCAAAGTAGGCCCACAATTTCTCAGTAGACGTTACATACAACTTTATTAAATTACCTCTCAAGTTCTGCTGAAGATTACTCAAAGTTCCCTACAGAATTATCCTGAAATATGAGCTATAATTGAAAGAGAAAAGGAGGATAATGTGGCAGCTGACAGTGCCAGAATGGATTTTTTTTTTAACACAGCCCTAGGAAAGATAAAGGAACTACGCATTCCAGGCAGAGGGTGCTGAGGACTGGGTAAGAGACTGATGCATCCACCCCATTCTACAACAGTTGGCCATGAAAGTATCAACATCAGAGTCAAGACAGTAAGACTGTTTCTTGGAGAGGGTAAGTAAAGAAACATCCTGAGGCATGCATCTTTTCCTCTCTCCCTTTGCTGAGCTAGAATGATTAAGACTTCTGCAAAACTTCACTGTGTGAAGCATTTAAGCCATAGAGAAGTTTAATTAATAAAACTTAACACAAAATAAAAACATTCCTCCAAAATACTGTAATTAAAAATAGGACTATAAACTCATTGGACACTTTTTTCCTTTATACCTGTAGCAAATTCAGGAAGGACAGTTTTTTCCCAAGGGGTAAATATCTCACTCAATACCATCTATCCTCACATAAAATGGCCAATTATTGGCAAAAAGACTGGAAAGAAACACACTAAAACATTAATCCCACCACACTTTGACTTAACATTATGGGTGATAAAGAGTTCCATGTTTCTTAATATTTCTTGAAATTTATTATAGTCAAATTTCTATTTTTTATTTTTAAAGTTTATTTATTTATTTTGAGAGAGAGCGAGCGAGCGCGCACACGCACACACCCACTCACAAGCTAGGGAGAGGCAGAGAAGGAGCGAGAGAATCCCAAGCAGACTCCAAGCTGACAGTACACAGCCCAAGGCAGGGCTTGATCTCACAAACCCTGAGCCGAGATCAAGAGTCGGACGCTTAACCAACTGAGCCACCCACGTGCCTCTATAGTCAGACTTTTAAAACCTAGCATCTTTGAGCCAGATTAAAGCAGCACAATTTGCAAGTAATTAACATAAATTACACACAAGAAAAAATTGAACATTACTTACTATAATGCAATTAAATACTAAATACCACATACCAAAATATTTAATAACAAAAAGCTTATAGGGAAGTATTCGAGAACTCATAAAACTGAACTACTTTTACACAAGCAAACAGATAAAAAAAACAAAAAAGCTTTATAATTTGATTTGCATCAATTAGCAGTTAGCTTTATTTAGTACTTCAAGTACCTATATAATAGGCAGTATATGTACCTTGGACCTGCAGACATGACTGGACAGCTTGCTTCAGTGCAGAATTCTGTAATAGTCCCATATAACATGTTGATCTGGTTGAAGAAATCCACAGCTGGAAAAATAAAAGGAAAATTGTGTTAAAATGTTTGTGCCAACACAGTAAAATATCAGACCTCTCAGTTGAAGAAAAATGGACAATGCCTTCAAGTTCTTGAATAAATCCCCAGGAGATTCAACAATCCAGAGGCACTGCAAATTCTCTTCTAAGTTGCTTCTTCTCAAGTTGTTTACTTAACTTTAAAATTAACTTTTAATATATATTCACTTTAATATACTAAGCTTTTACCCAGCATAGAAGAGCAGGAAAATAAAACATTAGCGGCAATTCTAACTTAATGGTGACTATTGGATCATTAGAATATATAATTTGATTATATCCAAAGGAATAAAAAAAATCTATTGCTTGCTATCAATCTGGACCAGACAATACCATTTGTGTTAGGAGAAACTGTTGTGGAATATACTGTGAAGGAGAAGGTGTAGCAGCTATATTAATAAGCATTTGAAAAATCTTATAAAAAACCTGAAGCCTAGGGACACCTGAGTGGCTCAGTCGGTTGAGCATCTGACTTCGGCTCAGATCATGATCTCACGGTTTGTGAGTTTGAGCCTCAAACTGGGCTTGCTGCTGTCAGCCTGTCAGCATAAAGCTTGCTTCCGATCCTCTGTCCCCCTTTCTCTACCCCTCCCCCGCTTGCACTCTCCCCAAAATAAGTAAATAGTTAAAAAAACAAAACAAAAAAACAACCTGAAGCCTAACTCATGCTGAGGACATAAAAAGGACATGGGATAATATCCCTTGCCTCTGAGACTCCAGCTAAGAGAAGGGACAAAATTGAAACAAAGAGTACAACACGTTAAGGGTTCAGAGAAAAGACAACATCTTGAAGGGCTGAGGTAGTCAGAGAGCACTTCCTTCAGGAGCTTCAGCTAGGTATGGAAGACAATGGAGGAGGAAGGGGGTAAGTAATGAACTTATCTGAGTAAAATGTTCCTCTGCAAAGACACCCACATAAGCTTTGGAAAGTTTGAAAAAATGTTTTCAGTTCCCTGTCTAAAGGAGTACCTACCTAAAAACCAACTAGGGCTTTTCCAAGTTTCTTAAAAATCAAGTAGACAAAAAAGTTCTACTTTGTCAAAAGGATTTTTATATAAAACTCCCTCACTTATAAACCTCCCTCTTAATGAGTCATGTTTCTAAGAAAGTAATAGGCATTCAATATTCATTCAAAACAAACAGTATGCCCAGATGGTGTGCTGGCTTATTGGTCTAAAGCAGCTGTTCTCAAAATGTGGTCCGGGGATCCCTCCTAGTTTCAAGGGGCATCTGTGAGGTCAGAGCATTTCAATGGCTCTTTTCACACTCATCCTCTCAGAAGGCACAGTGGAGTTGTCCAGAGGCTCCTGATGTGAGGCATCACAACAGAATGAATGCAGAAGTGGACAGGACGACTCGGTTGTCTCCTATTAAGCCAAACGTGAAAAGAGATTTCCAAACATGTAAAACAATGCCATACTCATCACTAAAACTCAATTTGGAAAACAATCATTTTTCATAAAAATATATTTAGGTCAACATGCAGTGAGTTATTTTTAAAAAATTAAAAAGTATTTATGGGGCGCCTGGGTGGCTCAGTCGGTTAAGTGTCCGACTTCAGCTCGGGTCATGATCTCGTGGTTTCTGAGTTCAAGCCCCGTGTCAGGCTCTGTGCTGACAGCTCGGAGCCTGAAGACTGCTTTGGATTCTGTGTCTCCTCCTCTCTCTGCCCCTCCCATGCTCATGC